GAAGTTGTGCGCAAAGGAAGTGGCGGGCACTTTGTCGAAGGCTTCGCTCCACCCGAGGTATAGTCGATAGTCGACGTCTGGCTGCCCGCAGCACTGCTGGTGGCTTGGGTCTCCGCAGCAACCTGCGAGGCGGCAACGGCAGCAAACGTCAACACGGTAGCGATCTTCATGTTGCTAGGAAGTAACGTTGGCCTCGACGAACGTTGGGGAATGATCCATCAATCATGGGCTCCGAGCAGTCGACATACGACGGTATGAGTCTGGTATGCGTCTGGTATAGATTGCATCTTATCCAAATCTGGGATAAGATATTTTGCTCGAGACGTCTGGTCAACGAACGCGCGCAAGTCTGGTACACTGTTATTGCCTGACGATGAACGACGACCCCTTCACGTCAGGCGTTGACACTCGCAGGGATCTTCGTGGGCTAAATGGTCGTGAGTATGGACACCTCGCACACGCCTAACACATGTGTTTCCACCGCCGTTTTAGTCCATACCCCCAGCGCTTGCTCGTGCATCACAAGCGCATACACTGTCGAACTGAACAAGAAAGCTCATAAATGTCATCCAATTGTGCTCACAAGCGCCGTAGCGTTGGGCCTAAAAGAGCGTCGCGGCCGCCGCCACGGCGGCGTTGGTGCGGCGGCGGTACACAGCAATGTACTTTTTGCCGCCGCTGCGCGCGACCTTCTTGCCCTCTTCGGTTTCCTCCGTCATGGCCTTGACGCACGGGTCAGCCTCCTACGTGGACGTTAGTGCGACTGTAATCGTGCCACCAACGGGACTACCAGAATCGCGTCGTCGGTGATGCGCTCAAAGCATGGGTGCGCGTCGCACTTGGCCACGTGCCAGTTGTGCAAGTCTTCGACGTCCGTGATCGTGTAAAGGATGCCCCCTTCCGCAATCAGGTACGCATACTCGGTCAGGAGGTGCGTGCTACACAATCGTGAGCGCTATGCAATCGACGGCCAACGACGTACTTGACGATGCGCCGGCGGTGGTTGCGCAGCTTGAACTGCGGGTCCGGGAAGCAGAAAAACATCTTTTGGATCTGACCCTTGGCAAAGTAGTGCGGGAGGTAGCGCATCGCGTTCGTACGCAGCACCGAGACGTTTTGATACTAGACAAGCAGCACGTGAATAGGTCAATCCAAAGACAGGAAGCAGTGTACGGCCTGGGTCGTCGCCAACGCATCCTGGCGAAGCGCTTCAATGCGCAGGCGCACGTATTCCGTGACCTTGGGGCGGATCTCCATCGCCAGCGTCAAGTTGGTCGGGAAGAGCGTCGCGAGCGCAATCGTGAGCCCGCCAAAGCCGCAGCCCACATCGAGGAATTCCACCTTCCTAGAAACCATACAGTCGTGAGCCTCTTGGATTCGATGTGTGCAGCATCGTACGGCGCTTCGACGTTGGGGTAGTGGCTGCTCCAGTCCATTTCGACCGGGCGCAATGGGCTACAAGATGGCGACGTTAGCCGCGCCTGGCAGCGCGATTGCACGTACTAGTCGAACGAGTCGTTATGCGAGAGCGGGTTGCAGTGGGCGCGGCTGCGGTAGAACTTCTTCTGCGGCATGCCAGCGATGTCGGCCTCGGCGACCTCCGTGCCATCGGCGCTTCTCTTGATTCCAGCCATTGTTTCCGGTTGCGTCTTGGCAAATGACCAATCGTCGACCACAGTACACTATTTTACACCCAATGGTCAGTTGATTGCTGGGTTAGCCCGTGCATCCAAGACCGCCGAGCGGAGGGCAGCAAGGAAATGTAATACTGCTTGATTCCCTTGAAGGAAGCCAAAATGGCCCACGACAATAGAGACCAGTGCACTAGGGTATAACGAATGCTACTGTTG